ATTAGAACTCGATATATCCTTACCGCCAGCTCGAAAAAAGTAGTTTCGAGAAAAACGCGTTCAAAGTTTTGAGACAAGTTTTCGACAATTTTACTTATAGAATGATACAGAATACTTACATATTTTTAATCAGCTATTCCTCTTGAACACAGGATCAATGTTGAAAGCGTGGTAAAAACAGAAAAAAATTCTAGAATACAATAACCGTAATTGTTATTAATTATAACTTCCTCATCCTGCGAATTTTTTAATTTTGCTGCAGATGCACTAGTGAAACTGGTTTCTTCTTCTACAGTAAATTGATTACCTGAAAATCTCCTTTTTTTTGATCTGCATGGCCGTGCAGAACTAAATTTCGAAGATTTTCTATCCATTTTACAAAATTTACAAAATAATTTTCACTTCAAGAATAAACACGTTGTCAGAGCTAGTACTTCCACTCAGTATAAAGGTTACCTCAAAACTAACTTAAAATGAAACTAAAAGGACAATATTCCAACAAAACCAGTTTCTATGACCTTCAATTAAATATAGATTTAACTTAAAAGGGATACAATACAATAGAAAAGGACCTTCATAAGTAGGGACTCGGGAACGCCCAGCGTCTTTTGTCAACTTGTAGCGGTCAGACCGGAACCGATGCCACGTCACTAAAACGGCTATAACTCGTGAAATAATAGGAATATTAAAGAATCCTTTTAAACGCATATTCTTGAATGCCTAAACTTTGGAAATATGAAAAAAAAAAATTTTTGATTTTTCCAAAATTCTACACTAGAATACCCCCTTAAATCTCAACTTATTGGAATCCTTGGAGAAATTCAAAGGTGTATCAGAATATAATCGAGATGTCGGATCCTCAAGATTCAACTCATCCTCGGTCGAAATTTCCTGACACTTCCGCGGTCTGTCCCTCTTTCCGGAGACTACCGTGGTTTTCTGTGGGCTTAAGCTAAAGGACTCGATGGGAAGGCCTGCATCGAGGGTTGAATTCTTATTAGTCTCAGTGGGAAGGCCTGCACTGAGTTTTGAATTGAGATTCTGTTTAGCTTGTTGGGCTCGTGTAGTGACATTAATTGGGTTCGGGGCATTTCGAGAAAAGGCGTCGGCATTTGTATTGACTTTACCGGGTTTGTAGACCACTTTGTAGTTAAAATCAGCAAGACGGAGGCGCCATTTGAGTACGCGGGAGTTCCCTTCTGTTGCCGATTTGAACCAAACGAGAGGTTGGTGGTCAGTGACAATAGTAAACGAGCGCAAATACACATATGGGCGGAAATGTTTCACTGCTTGAACCATCGCTAACGCCTTGTTACGGCCTCGCGTAACCCCTTAATGTTCGATTAATTGGTCAACGAAAAAAAAAAAACCTAATTAATAAAGGAATTAAGAACTACTGCATCGCTGGACCCCTAAGAACCGCCCGCCCCAGGCCCCTCAACTTCTCCCTCGGAGTAGACTAGAGGGAGGCGTAACTATTATGTTAATAGTTAGAGGCGCCATAACTATTGTGGGAGGGCCCTAAGAAACGTATATTGCGGGGAATCTATTGTCCTCCGCTGTTGCTACCCGGTCCCTGGTGAAAAAAAAAATTAAAACCGGAATAAATAATCTTCTTTTTTTTAAAAAAATCATTTTCTCTGTCTTACATAAGACGAAAGAAAAATACAGATAACAATATTTACTCGTACGAGATTTTGAAAAAGCTTACAACCATAATTGCGATTACTCATCACCAAAAATTCTTGAGGGAAAAACATTATTTTATTTATCCCAAAAAGCCGCCTGTAAACCTCGGCAAATAACCTTTTATCTAGGACCCCATCGCGTATGTACCCAATGGAAAAACAATCAGCAGCTAAATATCTCGAATATGACCTTATGTGGAAATATGTACCGCACACTCCCGCATAAAATTATTATAAATCATTAAAAATATATATAATATAAGGTATTACCAATGAATGATGAAAATGTAGTCGCGTAAACAATACATTAGTCAGTCTATAATGATCCATACGTAAATTGCTATATTACTCAGTATATAAAACTATATGTAAAATATATAACACCATGTATTTATTCAAAATACATGGGGATCGTGTTAAACATTAATAAATGCATGGTTTATGCATGAAAATGATATTTCTTTGTATATCAAAATATTATAGCAAAATTTCGGGTACGACTTTATATATCCCATTATAATATTAACCTAATTAATCATATTTTAAACATCTAAAATTTTCTAAATGAGTCACGTAATACGGCAACGCCTGTGCCCGGTTACGTGACTAGCCACTATGATACAATGGCGGATCCGCGGATATAAAAACCCCAGTCGCGGAAGCGAAAAGGGCACTCTCGCGAAGTTCTTATTACCCGTACTACACTCCGCGATTATTAAAAAGTTATCAATTGTGTAATATTTTTATTCATCATAAATTGAGTTTAATCGAGTGCCTAAACTCAATCAACAAGCCATCGGCTTTAATAATTAATTAAAGATTTAAAAATAAGTAATTTAATAGAGCAATTGTTTAAAAATTTATAGAATTCGGATTAATATATTGGCGATTTTAAGGAATCCAAATAAAATTTAAAAAGTTTAGAGAAAAGAAATTAATTAATAAATAAAAGCGAACGGAAATATTTTATTCCTTGAACAAATAATCTCCGAACAACTACACCCGGTTATCAGCTAGTCGGAATATAGAAAGATAAAAAAAAATCATCGCGGTCCAGCCAACGTGAAAAAGGGAATAACAATTACCACGTAGGAATTTCCAAATCAAAAGAACGTATACACCGTGTGAATGTACGCCGCGATATCTCGCGTATCCTAAATAAATAATTACCAAGCCGGAATTAAAAGTATAAGAAATTTAGATAACCAAGAATATTTGGGCCACCCGTGCTATAGAGAAATCGGAGTTTCATTATCGAGATAGAAAACTCTCGCTATAAGAAAATCATCCTGAAAGATAAGGGGAAGGCTAATCGCGGCAACGGCTAGCAGGTCCATCACGAGCATTCTCACCTGAGCAAACAACCGCTGAGTCACGGTACGCAGTTCACAGGTAATCAGAATTAACCCGACCGTGTTCACTTCTCAGAAAATAGAAAAGAGTTTTCATTGGTTAGCGTTGCTATTGCATAGCGATTCCCAAATTCCATAACCCGTTATCTAGAAATTCTATCGAAAGCTTATACGAAGGGTTATTAAAATTGTAAATGAGGAGGAGGGACTTATGAAGTGTATAAAAACCCAGCCACAGCACCCGGGAAGCATCAGTATTTTCTATAATCGCGAGTGTGATCAGTAGTTCAGCAGTTTTTTTTTGTTATTATCCTAAAATAATTAATTGTTGAATAATCAGCTCCATTTCCGACCAGTCAACCATTGATAGTTATTCCTTGTATTCGCAATATATTGCAATAAACAATCGTAAGTTACTTAATTACTCCGAATTTATTAATAAACACCTTAACTAATTATCCTGACTATTTAGTTAATTAATCGACAGTCACGGTGCATCGGTCAACGACCCTCGCAACTCCGACATTCAGGTATTTGGACGAGGGCCCAACGACAATTCGGTATCTCACTCACTCAGGTATAATTCTTTCTTAGTCTATCCAATACCATTTTACTTGCCTTCTCTTTCGCTTGTGCCCTGACCTACCCCAAAAGGGATACCCTAATAGAGCCGGGGTTCCCCAACAAACTATTATCATTTTTTCGAGTCATTATCATACGAAACCCGCGTGCAGTTACCTATAGGCGCGGTTCCCGCCTCCCGAGACATATAATCTTCGGTGATTAGTCTCAAATTTAAGGAACTGATAAATTAATTGTGTTATCGTCACTCGGACGTAACATTATATAAAAAATTTTTTTTAATTTTTAAATTAAAAATAAGTAGGAATTGGACCTCACAGAATATTTGCGATTAACTATCTGATGAAAAATTCTGAGGGTCGACGGGATTTGAACTCGGGTCCTTCTTGTTGCCAGTCCTGCGCACTACCACTGATCCAGATTGCACGAAGCAGCCATAGAACATTATTTATCTTATTTGAATTGAAACACAAGATAGGCTAGGTTTTTATTAAAATTCTTCAATATTTCATGGAGCATCACAAAAGTAGTAGTTTTATTTTTTGATTTTTGATTTTATCTGTTATTTATGGTTAATCTTTATTTTCTTTAACTGATACAAAAAATTATGGTTATTAAAATATATTAATTAAAATGTTAGTAAAAGAATTTTACACTGATGAAAAAATTGACTTGATTTAAGAGGAAATTCTTTTTTTGAAAAACTATTCTTCATCTCGGTTTATAAAAATTTTACTTGACTTAAAAATTTCCGTCTTGAATCAAGTTAATTTTTTCATCAGTATTTTACAATTTAAAAAAGATATTAATTTTTAAGATAAATGAGCTTTAACTGATACAAAAAATTATGGTTATTAAAATATATTAATTAAAATGTTAGTAAAAGAATTTTACACTGATGAAAAAATTGACTTGATTTAAGAGGAAATTCTTTTTTTGAAAAACTATTCTTGATCTTCGTTTATAAAAATTTTACTTGTCTTAAGAATTTCCGTCTTAAATCAACTTAATTTTTTTATCAGTATTGTAAAATTTCAAAACTATAATCATTTTTAAGATAAAAAAGCTTAAACAGATACTAACGAAAATTTTTATTAAAGATTTTTCTAAACAATTTCAAAAATTGAATGACGATGAATAATTAATATAAGGATTCTCAAACGTTAAGAGTTTAAGAGAAAAATTCTTGACTCGAGAAACCTTTTTAAAGAATTTTATTGTCTTAATCTGAGTCGAAACATTCTATAACTAAGGAATTTTTCTTTATAATTTAATTTTCAGGCTTTCCTCAAGACAATAAAACTCTTCAAATTATTATCTTAGGGCAAGACTTTCTCCTATATTTTTTTTCAATACATATAGATGTATATATATATATTCAACCCACCCTTACGTTGTATAGTTTTCTTTCCCCTCGTCGACCATAAGGCCGCTCTTGTCCACGCCCCCAACCACCACGCCTTCTGCTAGCGTTATACCAGCATGGAGAATCCGCTAATTAAAAAAAAAATAAAAATTAATGTTATTATAGAGATATTAATTAATAATTTAATAATAATTTTTAAGTAAAATTGTCTAATTAAAGTGAATTCGTTGACAACTTAATTTTTTCACGACAAACAATTTTTAATTTTTACTCTACGTTACTTTGATTCTTACGTCTATAAAACTGGCATTGACCACGAGTATCTCGGTTATTGTTTAGAAAACAAAATTTATTTGTAGTCATAAATTTAGTGTTCTTCTGTCGATGATTAGTTGTCCTAGCCAGAATTTTGTTGTTTGATTAGTTTTTGAGAATTATTGACAATAATGGACCACTTCAATGCTAGCTTTATAGACGTGAGATATTTTTATTTGTATGACAATTACAAGATAAAAAAAGTACTTACTAGATCTTGCTCCGGTGACCGAGGACGCTGATCTTAAACGTCCCCATTCACTTCCTCCACTATTATAATAAGATCTAGCATCCAGCTGTTCCTGGCCGGCTGGTAGATGAAATTCTCCTCCTGGTGGTGGCGGGATTGGAGGAGGAAAACAATACCATCAACTGTAATAGTGGTAGTTGTGGGTAATTATTACCTGCCGGTGGTGGTGGATAATAACCTGCCGCTGGTGGTGGAGGCGGAAGGTTTTGACCCGCCGCTGCTGCTGGTGGTGGAAGGTTTTGACCTGCCGCTGCTGCTGGTACCAGGAGGTTCTGACCTGCCGCTGCTGCTGGTACCGGGAGGTTCTGATCTGCCGCTGCTGCTGGTACCGGGAGGTTTTGACCTGCCGCTGCTGCTGGTGCCGGGAGGTTCTGACCTGCCGCTGCTCCTGCTGGTGGGAGGTTTTGACCTGCTGCTGCTGCTGCTGCTGCTGGTGCTGGGAGGTTCTGACCTGCCGCTGCTGGTGGAGCAGGAGGTTTTGACCTGCCGCTGCTAGTGGAGGCGGGAGGTTTTGACCTGCCGTTGCTGCTGCTGGTGGCTGGTGGTTATTGCTTGATGCTACTAGTTGCGGGTAGTAGCTTGCCGCTGCAAAGTAAGGCATTGCTGCTGATAATTGCAATGGATGTGGATACCACCAGTTTCCGTAAGCATTAAGATAATATGGGTTATAGTAATTAGGCCCAATCCCATATGCTGACCCGTAGCTGTGATGGCCCGCCACCCACTGTGCAAACAATCTTTGTCCTTGCCCTGCATCTTGTTGGTTGTATTGTCCATCTGCACAAAATGATTAAAATTTATTATTATCATTGTGATAATTATTATGATTATTACTAATAGTGGCAACTGATTATTAATAAATAAGATCAAAAAAAAAAATTGAACTTCGTTTTTCAAATTTTTTATATTCTTTAGTATTATTGATAAAAAATTTTTAATTAATTATTCACTTACTCATATACTGCGGTGTATATGCAGCCATCTTGCTTAATGAATCTAAATATAAAAGAAAAAGAAAGTTATTATAAAAGAAATATAAGGTATAATCAAATCAAATAAAATTCAGTCGTCTGTACATACGTCTCGCGAAGTCACCGCAATTTTTTTAAGCTCAACATTTTTGGTAAAGTCGTTTTAACTTTACATAATATTTCATAACATTCAAATTAAATTTAACACATTTTTTCGAAATCATTAAAATTTATGAAACTGAAGTTAGCGAACGTCTACAAATTTTTTATTTTTTCTGTTAAATAAATTACAACTGACAAGATATTTCTAAAAAATTGCACTTATAGTTTTTCAAGTTTTTTACAAGTGAAGTTTTTTTTTTAATTGTTTTAATTGGAATTTTTTCAATAAAAAATTTCTTAAAATTTAAAATGTTCGCTAACTTTATTTTCATTTATTTTTCAAAATTAAAATTTTTAAATACTTAGCAGAAATTATCAAAATTAAATTTTATATATATTTATTAAAAAAACACGTGCTAGTGTGGAAAAACCGTATTTTGTAATTTATCGTTTGAGAACTATATCTCACAACTCACAATAAATTAAAAGTTCAAGTCAGAATATTTTTCAATTAATAACAAATGAATCCTTAATAATAAACAGCATTGTTTATTGTTATATTTTTAGTTAGTTGTCTATATGCGGAGATCTTTAAAGTGACGCAAGTAGCGAAAAGTTAAAATATTTTTATGTTTATTAAAATCAGGAAATTAATTTATTAATTAATAGTAATCAAATTTTAATTCAAGCACTAATAATTATAAGATCCCATTATTAAAATATAAAAATATAAATTTCATGATTACCGGATTAACCACTAAAAAATATATAATGAATCATACTTACAAGAATGACGCCGTAAATAATGCTAACCAAAAAATGAATAAAAACAATAGCGACCCTTCACGGATATCGTTGTCATCCCTAATACTTAATATTCACTTGACACTACCTTCATTCGAGTACACTTGTTGAACATTTGTCACGCCTACTGTTACGACCCCACCTACATTTTGCAGATGGCTCTGATAGCCAATTTATTTTTAACTTCCCGCTAAAAATCTCAGATTTTCAAAAATCGGGAAGTTATTGTTTTCATCCCGTTTTGCAAAAATCGAGTTTTCATCAGATCTCGACGTTTGAAGGTCATAGGAAGCTTCTCTGACTACCCCCGCGGTGGTGTCTGTATGTCTGTATGTGTGTGTGTGTGTGGATGTTTAGGTATAGAATTGGCGGGAAGTTGCAGGGATGGCCTTCAGGGTCAACCGTATTCCTAATTTTTTTTGTTCTAAATTCAGGTAGTTCTGTTGAAGAACAATATTTACTGCATAAAAACGATATTTGATGATGCAGAAGACTTGTCTAAGAAGTCTGCTACAAACGAGCACTCATAGGTACATAATCTTTTTTCATTTTACTTATAATTGATTCTATCTATGAAATTGATGATTAATTGAAATTTTATTACAGAATATTCTGATGATTTTGCAACAAAGAACGGGTGGCCAAAATCCAACCAAAGTGATTTACGTGTAGCTATGTCGCAATGGATCGGTGAGTTGAAAAGAACACACCAAAAAAATCTTCAGCGAAAGACATAATTCTTTTGGTCACACTATTTTTTAAATAATTTGATACAAATACTTTATCTCGTTCGACGTTACACGTCTATCTATAATAAGTAAGCTCATTAGGCTCTAATAAGATAAATTGAAAAAAATCACAATTTTTAGTGCATGTTTAATGGCTGTCATCCATCGAATTTATTAATTAAATTTGTGATTATTATGCATTTCTAAAATTTTAATATTTTTTATCAGAGTTTATGCTTTTACCACAGAATAGAGTATTGCTATAATTTAGTCATTTGATTAAGTATTGGATTTCCAAGATGTTTAATCAATAAAAAGTATTGTTAAGTTATGAAATAGACGGTTGTTAGGCATAGAATTGTACTCGTAACTTAAATGAGTCTAAAGATTATATAACGAATAATGGTTGAGAGCGTTTGAAGAAAAGTATTTTGACTTGTAATATGCATCTGAGTGACAAGACATGTGTAATTACACTGAATTTTAGATCTGAAAAGTATGTGAACATAAAAGTTAATTTCTAAGAAATGTTATTATGTAATTTCTAATTAATGTTTGATGTCTGTTTGATTTCTAATCTCATTTGTTATAGTGTAATATTTGAATTTTATGATTTATCGTTAAATTATAATCTACACTGAAAAAAAAGTTTTCTGCTCCGCACGATACGAGATCGCTACTATTACGATCTACACTTCACCATCTAGAGGAGAGTGAGGTTAGAAAAACGGTATACTACGGTAACTATACGTTTCGTGAATGGCACCGAATAGATCGTGACGGTTACGATTCAGACTGCTACTCGTAGCTGTACGAATTGTACCCGTAACACGATACACCTTTTACCATACAGTAGATGGCGCCAAGTAGAAAACTTTTTTTTCAGTATACTATAATATTTATATTGTGATACAAAAAAGATCATCATTAAGCATTAGGGTGGTCGTTAAAAATTAAATTTTTTGCGGCGCCCAAAAAAATCCTTCCTTAGGAAAAGAAACTACGGGAAAAATTTTGTTTTTTGATTTTAAACAAAAAAAACACGTGCCGACGAGCAATTGAAATTTTTCAATTGAAGATTTTTCGATAAAATTATAGTTTTTTGAAATATTTGTTACGGTATTTAAATTTGGACGAAAAATCATTAAAACAATCTTGTAGGAATTTAAATTCTCTAGAAAAGGGTTTCTTTCGGTTTTAGATAAAGTTCATATCTATCGAGATAATCTTATTAATAAACTCATAAACTCCATTAAGTCAGTCATTTTAGCACTAAAAACTTTATTTTTCCAGAAATATGAACAATTTTATAACTTCCATTCACAATTAGTTATTTAAATAGTCCTTGCGAATGATAACAAAGTTTGTGAACAAATCATTGTATTCTTGCATTAATTTTACACCGCGTTCAGCAACATCGTTCACAACTGGTAAATTATTTACAGCGTTCAAACAGGTCTGATAATTTATATTTTCTTGCTAGTTTTCACAATCATCTTTCAACCAAGTTTTATTCAAACACAGTTTAAGAAAGAAATTTATTGAAAAAGGATTAACGAACTGTTCTAATCCTTGGTCGAATAATTTTGATACATCTTTTTCAGCTATTGCCAATTATTTTGAATTATTGATTTGACGACGGTCATCTGAAGAATTAAGTTCCTCATTAGAAGTATCGAATAATTTTTGAACCATTTTTTTTTTCGTTTCTTTATCAACACCGTCATCGAATATGGCCATCAAACAGTTTTTTGGAGTCAAGTACCATAAATGAATCAAAATTTTGTTGAAAGCAGTAGAAGATAGTTTTTTGTCAATTGATTAGAAGTTGTCAATCGATTGTGAAAAGTGGCAAGAAAATATAAATTATCAGATCTGTTTGAACGCTGTAAATAATTTACCAGTTGTGAACGATGTTGCTGAACGCGATGTAAAATTAATGCAAGAATACAATGATTTGTTCATGAAAGATGAAGATCAGAAGCAGTTTATTATTCAAATTTTGGATGATTACAGAGCTCGAAACATAAAAAATACAAAAGAAAGCTTACTTAAACCTTGGAATTGATAAATCAGTTTATGAGAAATAAATTTGCACATTTTCGTTTTGAAATTAAGGAAATAATATCAAATATAACTTTGTTATCATTTGCAAGGCCTATTTAAATAACTAATTGTGAATGGAAGTTATAAAATTGTTCATATTTCTGGAAAAATAAAGTTTTTAGTGCTAAAATGACGGACTTAATGGAGTTTATGAGTTTATTAATAAGATTATCTCGATAGATATGAGCTTTAACTAAAAACGAAAGAAACCCTTTTGTAGAGAATTTAATTTCCTACAAGCTTTTTATCATGATTTCTTGTCCAAATTTAAATACCGTAACAAATATTTCAAAAAACTATAATTTTATCGAAAAATCTTCAATTGAAAAACTTTAATTGCCCGTCAGCACGTATTCTTTTCGTTTAAAATCAAAAAGCAAAATTTTTCCCGTAGTTTCTCGTCCTAAGAAAGGATTTTTTTGGGCGCCGCAAAAAATTTAATTTTTAAAGACCACCCTATTAAGCATAAGATAATATGTATACGTAATTAAAAATGTAAAATTATCAATAAATATATTTAAAAAGTGAGTATCAGTGCTAGTTAATATTAATACCAATTGGTACATTAGTACAAAAAAGTTATGTATATGCATAAGTTTTTCTTAAGAAATTCAGTTTATTTTAATTTATAAAGTTTAATTTAGATAATAAAATAGGTGCATTTTATAACAAATATAAATAATGCTGTGAAGCGGGAAAGAATAGGAGTTACGGATAATTATTACGTGAAGCGTTCCAACATTCACGTAACAGGATTTTGGTAGGAAAGGATTGAGAAAGGATTGTGGAGAGGATCATCTTAATGTGAGTTTATAGAATATGCAAGAAAAAATTATTAGATGAAATAGATTTATAAATATTTATTCCTAATCATATCAAAATATATATATTCATATATAACTTTATATAATTATATCTAACTTTTTTTATCCGGGCCTTGTGTTAATTTTATTCAATTCTATCAGGAAATTTAAATAAAATACAAAATTAAATAAGAAAAAATTAAAAAAATTATAGTGGCAAAAAATATAAATTTAGTATTATTAAAAAAACTAGAATGAAAAAAAAAGAGACGGCGTGTCAGTATACTAACGATACATGGCATTTGTTTAACGATTTTGTCTCGATCATCGATGCGTCGAACGGTTTCAACCTCTGACGCGACACGCTAGTTAACCCGCGTCAGAATCGATACCAAGTCTTCGCTTTTATACAATTTATTGATCTCTTGACACAGAGTTTGAATATAAAGGCTTCCATCCTGCGAGCTG